CAAATCTGAATTCTTCAGCTGGCGTTGTCAAGCACATTTGAATTCATGATTTCCAGGAGGAGGGAGAGCTGCCTGCTCTCAGCTACGTTACACAACTTTTAGTTGCACAAATAACCTCAGCTTCAGTAGGACTATTCACACAAGTAACAGCTTTATAAGAAGGGGCTTTCTTCCCCTCATCCCCAGTGGCCCACAAGGGCAACAAAAAGCCACTCTAAGCTTGCCCAAGCTTCAAATGACCAGAGCTCAATTCATTCTGTCAGCACAATACACTCACATTGAGTTATCACAGAGGAGAGAGGGAGGGGAGAGGGGTCAGGTAAGTGGGGTTTCTTGGTTTGGATTTTACCAATATTGTGTGGTTTTGCAGAGTTGTCTTGTATGCCGTCAAATATAAACTCCAGTTTTAATAACTTTGCATAACTGCACAATATTGTAAAAATATCTGCTTACCTGACCCCACATAACTAGGAACTTTTGTTTCGGCTGTGATGTTGCCAGCATAGTGGATGTTAGGAAACCAGCTGGAACAGCAGAGCTGAGGTGGGGCTGGACGCTACAAAACAAAAATAGGGTGTTGGGTTTGCACCAGGTGTTACTGGGCACACAGCCGGGACATTCAACACGCACGTGTAAGCGCACTTAGGTTCGCTCAAAATCAATTTTAAAAGACCTTCTAGATAACGACAAAAGCATCAGCATGTGTGTTAAAGTTGCAACTCTCATTAAAACCTTGTTGTAAGGAGGTGGGCGCTACAAATTTGAAGTTACTTGTAACATTCACTCCACAGATGAGCAATGTCGCCAGATACCGAGGCTGGTCACTTAAGACCATTAATAAAGCATACTCTGCAGACGACAAGATGAGCCTACACGCCACAATGCAACACAACCGTATCCTTTCGGCACACGTTAATAATTCAACACCCACCTTTCAGGCAATGAGCTTTCCAGTGACTTAAAGAAGGAAATATAAGGTTAAACCCCCAACTTTTCTGGCCGCGGCTTCTCCTCCCGGGCCACCGTCCCGGCCAGGGCTACAGGCCCGCCGCCACCTCGCCCTTTAGCCCCGGTAGCCGAAGCTGTGCCAGTTTACAAGGTCGGGCACCCACCCCCTGCCTGCCCAACCCGGCC